ATTTGCCGTCCGCAGCCGTCCGCGCAGCCAAGGTCGCTCATCGCCAGCGGCTTCTTCTCTCCACCCATTTCCAACCACCCCCGCACCCACGCCGTCCGCAGCCGTCCGCGCAGTTCTCCGCACCCATTCCCCGTCCGCAGCCGTCCGCGCAGCCAAGGTCGCTCATCACCAGCGGCTTCTTCTCCACACCCATTTCCAGCTACTCCGTTGCACCCACGCCGTCCGCAGCCGTCCACGCAGTTCTCCGCACCCATTTGCCGTCCGCAGCCGTCCGCGCAGCCACGCTCGCTCATCACCAGCGGCTTCTTCTCCCCATCAATTTCCAGCCACGCCGTTGCACTCGCGCCATCTAACCGTCCGCGCACTTCTCCGCACCCATTCCCCGTCCGCAGCCGTCCGCGCAGCCAAGCTCGCTCACCCACGCCGTCCGCAGCCATCCGCGCAGTTTGCCGTCCGCAGCCGTCGGCGCAGCCAAGGTCGCTCATCACCAGCGGCTTCTTCTCCCCACCCATTTCCAGCCACCCCCTTGCACCCACGCCGTCCGCAGCTGTCCGCGCAGTTCTCCGCACCCATTTGCCGTCCGCAGCCGTCCGCGCAGCCAAGGTCGCTCATCACCAGCGGCTTCTTCTCCCCATCCATTTCCAGCCGCCCCCTTGCACTCACGCCGTCCGCAGCGCCGTCCGCGCAGTTCGCCGCACCCATTTGCCGTCCGCAGCCGTCCGCGCAGCCAAGGTCGCTCATCACCAGCGGCTTCTTCTCCCCACCCATTTCCAGCCACTCCGTTGCACCCAGGCCGTCCGCAGCCGTCCACGCAGTTCTCCGCACCCATTTGCAGTCCGCAGCCGTCCGCGCAGCCAAGGTCGCTCATCACCAGCGGCTTCTTCTCTCCACCCATTTCCGGCCACCCCCTTGCACCCACGCCGTCCGCAGCCGTCCGCGCAGTTCTCCGCACCCATTTGCCGTCCGCAGCCGTCCGCGCAGCCAAGGTCGCTCATCACCAGCGGCTTCTTCTCCCGCACCCATTTCCAGCCACTCCCTTGCACCCAGGCCGTCCGCAGCCGTCCGCTCCATTCCTTTCCCTTCCTTTCCCATCTTTTTCCGTTCCTTTCCCATCCTTTCCCTTCCTTTCCCTTCCTTTCCCATCCTTTCCCTTCCTTTCCCTTCCTTTCCCTTCCTTTCCCTTCCTTTCCCTTCCTTTCCCATCCTTTCCCTTCCTTTCCCTTCCTTTCCCTTCCTTTCCCTTCCTTTCCCTTCCTTTCCCTTCCTGCCCCTTCCTTTCCCTTCCTGTCCCTTCCTTTCCCATCCTTTCCCTTCCTTTCCCTTCCCTTCCCTTCCTTTCCCATCCTTTCCCTTCCTTTCCCTTCCTTTCCCTTCCTTTCCCTTCCTTTCCCTTCCTTTCCCTTCCTTTTTCCTTCCTTTTTCCTTCCTTTCCCTTCCTTTTCCCTTCGTTTCCCTTCCTTTCCCTTCCTTTCCCTTCCTGTCCCTTCCTTTCCCTTCCTGTCCCTTCCTTTCCCTTCCTTTCCCTTCCTTTCCCTTCCTTTCCCTTCCTTTCCCTTCCTTTCCCTTCCTTTCCTTTCCTTTCCTTTCCTTTCCCTTCCTTTTCTTTCCTTTCCTTTCCCTTGCACCCACGCTGTCCGCACACCACCGTTCGAGCCAGGTCGCTCCCCCACGCGGTTAAACAACTAAACGAGAACCCAAGCATCGAAGATGCTTTTGGGAAAAAGGAGGTTGCTGAAAAGAGGACCCCAAGAATGCCTTGACCATCAGCTTAGAGCTCTTGACGTCGTCATTGTCGATTGTGAGCATTTGCAATCCGCTGGTTGCGAATGCCTTCCATGGGCGCGAGAGTCGACACATGCACACTGAAGAATGCAAAAACGTTGCATGATCAAGCGATGATACAGGTCAATGTGCCTTTGCAAGGGGTTCAACCTCCTCCTCGCTGCATCTGAAGGTTCTCAGCCTTAAGCTTTTCAAGTTCTTGTAGAGCGGAAGAGCATGAGCCAACGCCAGCATTTGATCGGCCGGAAGGCCTTCCAACTCAAGGTGCTCACAGGCCGTCACCTTTTCGAAAAATATCTTTTCTTGCAAACGGATGACGCTTTCCGCATCGGATCTGTGGGTAAAGACCGCCTTTTCCATTTTGGAGCGGAAATATGCAGGGGTCGTTGGGATCCTGCCATTCAGGCGGCTGTCATCATCCGAGCGGTCATCGACGTTGTCGATTCTTTGGTGCTGGAGGTTCACAGTCCTCAGCAGCTGAAATGTGACAGGACTCGTTATATATATATAGTAAGCATTTGTAAGCAGCGTGCGTTCAAAACATCAAGATACAACTCATGTACATTCTGAGAGCCAGACCTGAGTGAACTCCATTCCACCTCTGCCATGCACCATCCGCGAGAAAGGTACGCGGCTTTGTTCGCAACCAAATCCTTCAAAGGTTTGGCTACGACACATTTCTCGTCCTTGTCATAAACAGGGACAAGTTCCGTCTCGTTATCCATCATGCGATTCCAGACATCATCTGGTGTGAGACTTTCGATGCGCAGGGTCAGCGTGTGCTCGTGAGCATACATCACATGCATATTTTGCATGGCTGCTCCGAAGCTGCTTTGTTGTTTTGGACAGAGCCGCTCAAATTGGAACAACGATGCATAATCGTAAAACACCCAAACATCAGCCTTGAAAGCAGCTTCGTACAATGCAACACGCTGCGCAATCTGCTCCAGCTGATATCTACAAGGATCTGGATGCTCGCGAGTCTCCCAAGCATGGGAGATCGAGCAGATGATCGCATCCCTATTCCCTTCAGCCCAGGTCTGTACTTCCTGGTGGCTCACCAAGGCTGTTTCAGCCTCGGAGTCAGGCAGATCAAAGGTCTGGGACTCGAGTTCTTGGCGACGTGGCAGTGGGCGTCCAGAAAGAACCAGTTCAGTGAGGTACCTGCGATGCGTTTTGACGCGGCAAGTCGAAAGCAGTCCGGAACCCTCAGCAAGAACTACGTAACCCACGTAACCGTAACAATAGTAGGACTCAGTAGGACTTGCACCTGGCACGAACCAAACGTACGTCTGCGTCGTGGAGGAATTGCGCGAACGCCTTTGCGTCCTTCAAGTCGTATTGAGCCTTGGTCGACGTTGGTGTCAATTTTTCCTGGGAAATGTGGCTCCACAAAACAATCCTCGACCAGGAGAAGACGAACAAGAACCCGCTCACGGAGGTTTAATGACGAGGATAGGATCTTGTCTTAGGTTGACATGCATGCTGGAATGATGGTGGGCACCAGGCCTCTGCCTCCGCTATCCGAACAATGGCCTTAGGCGCCGGCAACTCAAGCTGTGTTACACCACCAATCCGAGGGATCCCTGGATTTAAAGAAACAATTTCAAAGTGGTGCAGAAATGGGGAGCTTTAGCATCAAAAAAGGTAAGAAAAGCCTCCTTCGGATCAATAAAATCAGGGGGGAAAGAGTGGCTCGATGACTGAAGGGATCCTCATCGCCACTGAGCTCCCAGGCTTCGCGCACCCTGGAGGCGACGTCCCGCCTAAGCACCGACTGCACAGATCAACGATCCCTTTCCCCCTCTGCAAACCAAATGCCGAGATGGGACAATGTTGCATGAATATCAATATAGCTTATAAGTCAGAACATGTCACAAATGCCAGGAAGGTACATTGTTTTGCTCGATCAATCTCGGATGTTGAAACATCCACATGAGATGTCCTCAAGAACTGGCAAGAACTGTGTCAATTGTCAGGTGAGCACCGGCACTGAGTATCGTCTTGGTGAGTATATCATCACGTATCAGCTATACGGCAGTAGATTCAGTAGATAAGAAAAGTACCTTTCCCACGCAAATGTCATATCCAAGCCCAAAGGCGAAAAAAGTATTCGGTCAGTACCACAACATACCACAACTCTCAGCCCGCCTGGTGGGTGTCTCTTCCGTCCCAACCTGTCGAGACGACGAGAAGGTTCCGTTCTTCCGTTCTTTTTTGTCGATTTTCATCTGCAAAGATGAGCCGAACACAATTAGTATACTTTGCTATTCGAGATCAGGATCAAGGAAGGCAACAAAAGGCTGACTTGACGAGCGGGTCTACATGTCATTCAGACATGCAGGTTGTCAAGTTTATGGTATATCACCAAATCACACCACTTGCAGAGCCTGAGAGTCGCCAAGATCCAAGAAGTACTTGGACAGTTTTGCGATGTCGAGGTGGCCTTCACCTCACGGGCTATAGTCGCTATACATGGCTTTTCTCGTACTTCTCACGGGCAACGCAACTGGTTTCCTTGAAATGGAATGCACCTCGTGGATTTTTTCCCCATGACAACTTCAATAACAAGACCATGGTTCATGGTGGTTCTCATCTGTGGGGGAACCGTGGGAGCGCTTTGGCTTGCAACTGGGGTGCTGTTCCGTGGCATCTTCCCAAGACTGGCCTCAACGGCAATGGATTGATTTCAGGGAAAGCACTGCTCTGGTGACGTCTAATGCGGGTTTACTGATACTTGGAATGTTGACAAAGTTTGAAGGTACTGCAGCTTCCACCTGGCCTCTAGTCACAACAGGGTTCTCCAAACACCCCAGGCACGAGGGCAGTAAATTGGGTAAACATAGAAGGAACATGACCAATTTACCCGTGGCTATCATTTACCTACAATGAGTCGGAGTAACCCTGTTACAACCTACAGCATCCATCCCCAGTTCCTTCATGCGCAGCTCCTACCTGGACTTTGTCATTGCTCAGCTCACTTCCTGGACGCGGCAAAAGTTCGAGCGACACTGAGGCATCCTTCCTTCAGAGGTTTTCTCCACTCCACGTTTCATCAGCTCATCTGTGTTGATCTCTCTTGAAATGGGGATCCTGCCTCTCATCACTTCTTGTAGTTCCTCCTTGGACAAGGCACCTTTGCCGTCCTTATCAAACTGCTTCAGATAGTCTAGCAATTCCTGCGCATACACGCTGGCCAAACATGGCCAAACAGAGAAACAGAGTCTCCGAAATCATTTGTTGCGCAGAACGAGATGAGAAAGAGAGAGTAAAATCCCAACATGACAGCAAGCTTGATTGCAAGCTTGATTGGCGCGCCCCTGATGATGAACTATCACTTGGTTGGCCTGAACTTTTGGAATCGGCTTTCCCAATTCTTCCTGCACCATGCTGCAGCTTGCAGAAAAAAGTCACAGCCTTGTAAGGCCTCTCATCTCTGCACATGGTGCGGAGATCGAAACTCGTGCGATCACAAGAAATGGCAGAACTTCAGATTGTTCATAGCTGTATTGATTTAATTCGAGAATATGTGTTTTTTTTTGATCGGAAAAAATGTTCCTTCTCAAACATCTGCAGCAGCAACATAAGCTTCAGGAAAAAGAACACCGCCAGTCCTCAATGAGATTGTGAAACATCTTGTGGCCGATGTACTCCGGACGACCCAGATCCTTCAAACGCTTCTCGACCTGATCGCGGCAGATTTACTTTAGTGTTCAACAGAAGCAGGAACAAACATTAACTGATTAACACAACAGGATAGCAGAAAAGCAAAAAACGCAGCAAAATTTGCTGCCAAGGATCCTGATCTTCTGTGAGGTTCATCCCAAGAACACCCAGGGCATGCCCGAGTCGTGCAGCCGGAAGTCCAGATGGTTTGGAGAAGTATTTGAACACAGCATCTGTGGAGGCCAAAATCTGGTTGAGCAGTGCGGAGTAGGCCTTGAAAACGAGGACACCAAGAGATATCAAGATCAGAGATATCAAGGGATCCTGAGGTCAGAGTCATAGGTCTTATGAGGAAAAAAGCAGGCAGCTGTTAATCTTTGATTCAACCGATAGAAGGACATGGAAAAACCGCAGAGTTGCCCACAAAACACGTTCTACCTTCACACACCTGACAAGATTTTCCAAACAAAGAAGTTTTGCTCCCACTGAGCCACATCCGGCTCTATTTTGTCTGTTTTCTCACCCGGAATCCAGAAATCAAGAAGGTTGACACAAACCACATTTCCAAATCCAGTCCAATTCCTGAGCCTCATGCTGGGCCGCTCACGCTCTCCTGCAGTCAGAATCGTGTCGAGTACTCACATGTTGAGATGCTCTGTATGTCAAAGGCCCTCCATCGTTAACTCAACTGAACATAATATAACCTGTTCAACATCGAATATGTTGCAATTCTTTCTGAGAACTCTTTTGTGGCCCTATCCGTTGAAGAGACAAACACTCTCTTCCACTTCGGGGGCACGCTGTCCTCGGCAGCTTGAGTGTCTTTGCCTCAGAAACGCAGCTGGAAAAGCGTGACGTTCACTGTGAATCACCTTCCATGATCCAAATGACATCATACATGGGCTCCACTCGCGCAACTCTGAGGACAGCTGTACCCTACCACCAGATGCGCTTCAATACGACTGCATATTTCAAACATGGTGCAATAATCTGCTTGCAGCGGCGAAGGATTCGGCCAATTGTCGCATGTGTGCCATATCAAGGCTGACAAGATGCATCAGGACTGTATGACACACTTCCAAGATTGATTCAAAACTCTGAGTTCCTGGACCTCGTTGACATTTTTCAGCACTGGTTTTGTCTGCCTGACAGAAAAGCAGGGAGGGACACCCCATCTGCAACATGGCGAACCTTGTCACCCATGAAGCCCGAAAAGTGACTCGGGAGTGCCAAAGTGCACAGTTTGTGTCCGGTCAAATTTGAAGCGCAAAAATGTTTGGAGCTTTCGGAAAACCACCCAGCGGCACCAAATTCAACGACAAAATTTCCACCAGACAGCTGGAAAGCAAATGGCCGCAACCTGACCTCCCAATCAAAACTTAGAACAGTCGTTCAAAACACCTACATAAAGTATGTTTTGAATTTTTCTAAACAGCACACTGAAGTGCAATTGTTTACGCCTGGTACAAAAATAGAAGTTATCGTTTTTTGGGGAGGACCCTATCGTTTTACAGTGTTTCGTTCAAATCAACACTAAATAATAAATGCTGGGCATGGACTAAGGGGCGTTCGTTGTCTTTGCGTTTGCAATCATGTTGGGGAGCTATCTCAGCACATTCCTAGAGTCTTTATGACTCTTTCCTAAGCAAGGAAATTTATTACAATCTCAACTCTGAACTAGAAAGACAGAACTTAATTAAGATCAATGGTTCCCAACGGCTTTAAGATCACTAATTCTATGAAAACGAAAAAGGGTCACCTCGTCCTTGTCCCTGTTTGATTAAGCCATGGCGTCAGAAAAGCGCCACACTTCCCCGCTCAAAAGCTTTAGAAATATAAGATGGTCCAATAAAGAAGCGTTAGTAGCTATGAAGGAAGTGCAGTAGGCTCCCCAAGTCTCAGAACAATCTGATGGTCTAGTGTTGGGGATCTGTTCACTTTTTCGTTGAGCCCTTCTTCTTGTTGGACTAAGGAAACGGCATGACGCCACTCTTGACATTCAAAGTGAGGAATCTGTTGCACTGCTACATGTTTTTTGGCCAAAGTGACCGTTTCTAAGCCACGATGAGTACACTGCTACATGTCATTCGCCGGCACAACCAGAAGTGGATTTACTCTGATTGATAGGGTTGCAAAGTTAAAGGCCGAACTTCGGTCAAAGAGCTTCAGTTTCAGAATGAATCCGCATTGTTTGACGTGAAAGCATCATTACAACCCATGCAATACGTGCCAAATCTTCTGAGGAAGAAAAGGATCAGCAAGCAACTGTATATCTAGACTTATGGCGCAATTCAGAGATTCTCAACTCAAAGGACCAAGGGAGAAAAAGAAATAAAGAGAATTGTTTTCATGAGTTTTCATGTCCTGGATTTAGACGTGCAACGAAGAAAGTGACTGTCCCCGGCAACCCGCCTGAAAGTCGCTAAGCTCCAAGAAACACTTTGCCAGCTCCACGATGTCCAGGTGACCTTGACCTCAGGCGCCAAAATAAACTGGGATCTGAGCCCTTGTGCGTTGGAAAAATAGAAGGTTCAACAAAGAACAAGGCCCAGAAAAAGCCAAATTTAGACCTTTTTTGGCCACTTCCTGCCTAAAGTGGTATGGGAATTGTCCATATTTCGAGCAGCAAAGGATGCCACAACCTGTGGAAACTGGCAAACTATCAAGTTGCAGTTTGCATCCAGGTTGCTGTTGCTCGGCACCTTTGCGACACTTGCCTCGCGACGCATGGCAAGCTGTGTGACTCTGCAAGTTGTACATTGGAAGCGTGAGAAAAAGCATCAGTGGTGAATCCAAGGTCACGCAAAGAAGTAACAACCCATTTTTCACCACTGCGAAAACCAAAAATAGTGTTGTTTTCCAAGTGTACAAGTGAAAACGCAGTAGATTTAAGAGTTTGAATTTGGGAAGTGGAAGAAACATTAACAAGTGAAACACTTTTTTTCAGTTTGTTGGCTTGGGAAATTTGAAGATTTCAGGTCGCTTCCGCGCAACTCCCACCTGGAGCTCCTGGCACTCTCTTCCTGGACGCAAGTTGCAGGAACCCCGGAGCACCCGAAAAATCAACAGATCTTCCGAGTCATCCGAGTTCCTTCCGAGTTCCTTCCGAGTTCCTTCCGAAAGTCGATCAACTCGGTCCATCCCAAGGGAACTCCACAAATCTCACACCGCGCCTCGCATCGCTTCTTGCAATTCTTCCCTGGACAAGGCACCTTTGCCGTCCTTGTCATATTGCTTCAAATAGTCAACCACTACCTGCGCAGAACTGTACCAGTGAGTCTGAGTCTAGTTTTTCCTGGCACGGACACATGAAATTGGGCCCTGTGCTGTCATCATCTGACTGGCCTGAACTTTCTCGAAATGCTTGATCAATTCATCCTGCGAGGTGCTGCGCAAATCGATTGAACATCCAAAAATTGCGGAAACAGCAGAAAAGTCACGGGTTTTACCAAAAACACGCCGGGAACATCGTGAAACTTCACCAAACATGGGACCAATCCCAAACCCTGAGTCCTTGATGAAATGGTGAAACGTCCTTTCCTCAATGTACTGGGGCCCTCCAAGATCTGCCAAGTGCTTGCGGACCTGATTGCAGATCGAAACAGAAAAGCACAAAAGGCAAACAGGCCCAACGGACAGGGAGATGCAAGTTTTCGTGATGAAAACTCCAAAGGTCAGCCCGCCCCGAAAATCGCAGCCATGCCCGTCCTCTTCTTCCGTGGGGTTCATCCCGAGAACGCGCATGGCATCCCCGAGGCGTTCAGCCAGAAATCCGTCCGGCTGGGAAAAGTGTGCGAAGACGACCTCGATGGATTCCATGATCTCCTTGGAACTTTGATACGTTCAAAAAGTCCACCCAGGAACTCAGAGATTCAACTAAAAGATGCAATTTAACTAGACGACGGATGGCCCGAGAGCGTAGAGGAGTAGGGTCTTCTCTTGTTAGTATGGAGACACCATATTACAAAACAATATATTAAAGATGTGTGATAGGCAGTCGAGAAGAGGAGTATCAAGACAATATAGCATAAGTACAAGACAATAGTTTGCATCGCAAACACTTTTACACACAGACGCTTTTACACACAGACGCTTTTGCACACAGACGCTTTTACACACAGACGCTTTGACACACAGACACTTTTGCGCACAAAAGCTTTTACACACAAACACTTTGACGCACAGACACTTTTGCACACAAAAGCTTTTACACACAGACGCTTGCACACACACAGTTACAATCAGTTACACACAGACGCTTGCACACACTAGACAAGAATGGATCATTATATGATCCGGCAGGAACTGAATCCTGAAACATGCAAACCAGCCTAGATCATTAGATTAATGAAAGAGCCACATGAGGTACTTCTCGAAAACGATGTAGGGCATCCAATATTGTCAAACGTAGTCTTAACCAGATTCCATAGAGTTTTGACCAGCAAGTAGAAAATTCAAAGTAATGTTTCGGCGATTGTTTCCAAAAAGACCCAAAGTTCGTCGGCGACATGATCTCGGCGAAAATATGTAAAAAATCATAATATTGTCGGCGATATGGTTTCGGCGAAAATCTGAGGAAGGTTCTGACGCATGCAATACAGATTGTGGCAACCGTGTAGATTCGAAACAACGCAGTGTAACAGCTTGATCAACAGTTGAAACCAAATTTTGCAGGTACACAGAGTTGATCAGACTCTGCTTCCAGCACAAGTGGATAGCTTCGTTGGGTGCAGTCTCCACTGTGCTCTGCACCCCTCTGCAAATTAGTGAAAATCAATAAGAAGTTTTACATCTGTTCAGATGGTACACACACACACACACCTCGCATGTAGCGAGGTTGGATTTTTTGGAAGAACTTCGCTGGCGGAAAGTGAACCTGTAATAATCTAATGTACAAACGGGCGATCACTTCAGTCAGAAGAGGAATTCGGAGCTTGTAGAAGGACTTCGATAGCATCGTGGAAGCTCATACGTTCAACCATCGCCCAAGTCTGATTGAGTTCCCCAGATGCCGTAGCAGCCTTCAAGGTGTCAGATAGATCTTTGGCTAATTCATGGAGCCGGGTGGTTAGGCTCGGTTCATCTGCAGGAGATGTCGTCTCAATGGGCACATTGTGAAAAGGATGGTGTCCGTGTACAAGAGGAATCTCGAAATGATGTCGCCAATAGTCCGCTGTACGCAGGGACCACTCCCAGTTGCCCGAAAGACCATAAAAGTAGTGTTCAGGGTCACGACATCGGGAATGCCCTAACAAGGGGATTTCTTCAATGAATAGCTCCCTGGTGTTGTTGGAGTGGGTAATGACCTTGAATTGGATCTGGTGAACCACGCGAGAAGAGAATTGAGCATGATGGAGGTAGTTGTGTGCAGAACTTGACTCCGTCGGAAACGGGACGCCAGGAGGTGCTGGTCCTGAATATGTATCAGAATGGGCCATAGTACCCGTGTCAGGAGCCGTACTGTCAGTGACCAAGGGTGCCGACGTAGGGTTGGTAGTAGTGTCAGGAGGGCCTGAGTGACATAGTGCAGAAGTCTGGGCGTCTGGTACTTGAACTGGGTTGGTAGGAGCGAGTCCACGGGTAGGATTCGAAGGCCAAGACAAGCCCGCCACGGTCGCGTCTCGTTTGTGTTCCATGGGTGAAACTGTCAGAAATGCGAGAAATAGTGCAACAACGGCTGAGGCATCAAGAATTGCAAATATAAGCCAATCCCGAAAATGATAACATTCACAATGATGATAAAAGTGAAGTCCAGTCCTCAATCAAGCGGTTCAATTGCGACGGAGAAGCCACAGCTCAAAGTCAAATAAAGTAGAAATCAAAGAATCCTTTATGTTGGTGAGGAGTCAAGGGAGAATTGAAAACCCTGCAGCATGGTCTTTTTTGGCCGGCTAGCGTATCAGGGCAGGATCACACCGGAGCTAATTTTGTAGCATTGCAAACGTAGTACAAAAGGCTGTGTGGTACCCGGAATGAGCAAAGAGGATTCGCGGGAATTGTACTGCCGAAGTCGCCATTCAGGTCGGTATTCCTCCAAAAGCTGCAAGATCGTCATATCATTGGAGACTTGGAATGTATCACCGTCCAGGTCGCAAAAGCGAAACTCCAAATTCGAGGGATCAATTTGGATGTCCCATTGGGACCTCAATCTTTTGGAAATACAGAAGCGTAGTTCGGCAATTGGGATGAGGCCGGCTTCAACTGGTTCCATCTGACGCGACCAGGTAAACAGAGCCTCCAGTTCGTAGCCACTAACATTTCTGAAATTGGAGCTGGCCATAGCCATGTAGTGTTCACGGTCAGGTTCGCTGCGATGAGTCAATGCCTGTAGGGGAGAGAAGTCAACCAAGATAAGAACAGGTCGGTTTGGAGGAGGGTTTACATCACCAGGAAGGCCTCGATGTCCAGCAAACCATCCAATGGTTCGTGTACCCAGTGGTGTCTCAATCGTGGATGTAGCGCGATATGGATGGGGCCGAGAAGAATGAGCCATGGCGTCTAATGTCGAGTGTCGAAGATAAAGCGGAAAGCCCAAGCTGCAGAATAGGTTGATAATGACCAAAGAATAAAGCTCAAAGTGTTGAAAATTGAAGAGAAACGGTCTACCTAGTAAGTGGTCACAAAAAGACGGTAAAGCACTGTTCTTTTCCGGTGCCGACAAATAATGTGGTGTATTACACACTGGAGTCTGACATATCCATCGGGTCCGTATCGTTCGCATCCCGTGGACCTTGTACTTGTTGAGGAGGGACGGTGGGCCGAGTGAGATGTAAAGTACGTTGTAATGTTGCCGGTGGTGACGAAGGTGGTGTAGATCGCCATGGTGGCCAATATAAGGAGGTGGTAGTTCCTTGAGAGTGATGTTGCGCAGAGCGTCCCCAGCATGACTGCAAAATATAGAGTTGGTCCGGTATTGCTTCATACGGTTGGGAAACATAGACATTGGAGTGTTCAGGGTGTGGTAGAACAGGAACAGCAGTTGTCATAGGGGAGGAGGATGATGATTGAATTGGTACGTCATAGTGTCGGCGCCAATGATTAGCCGTGGTACGTAGGGTCGCCTGATCAGTGGTGAGGTGCATGTTCTCCAGAAAGGTTTCCACAGGTTTCCACGTTTCAATACCATCAATTGTCCTTTCCACGACCCAAAGTTCATCCGGACGGTTAGACAACGGGTAGCTCAGCTTCTTGATGAATACGGAATGAACAGTTGTCGAGGTCGGGATGGTTCGTGCTTCGCGAGGGATATACGATGCCGAAGTAGGATCATCAGGAGGTAGATGTGGAACTGGGCCATGTAGGGATGTAGGTGGGGAACGGTGTGAAACCGATCGAGCAGGATCATCCGTATTGGAGGTCATCGTGTACAAAAACAATAATATGGTTTCGGAATACGCTGGACTGAAGCCAAAGAGCCATGAGAAAGGTCAATGACGACGGGATGAATAACGAACATCAACAAAAGGAAAAGAAAAGAAAGAAGTGAAGGAGACCATGGAAAACCAAAACCAGGATGGCGGACATCATAACGAATGTTTTCCTTTTTCCTCATAGATGTGAGCATCGCCAAGATCTATCTGGAAGGCTAATCACTCAGCCGCCTTAGTATATCTGGTGGCCGTGACGAATGGATGCCCACGGGGAATCACTTGGACATGTACAGCGAAGCCGGTGTCTTGTGCATCTGGATGGGGTGTCAGCAGCAAAGGTGAACACTCACGAGTCGTGAAGGCATCGAGATGTTGGTGAGTTTTCCATGTCGGATAAAACCAGTTCAAAACGTCCAGAAGAGAATGAGGAAGGTCATCAAGCATCTGAGCTCCTTGATCGGTGTCAATCATCATGTAGAAGTCGGAAGCTGGTAGGTGTATCGACCATCGTTGTAGCAGCGTATCGGTGACTACTTTTTTGAGGTCGGAAACAAAATGACTGCGAGCATAGTCCGGGTAGATCACCTTGAACGTCTGGAACAGGCTATCATAGGTGGCCGTAGGGAGGTTGCCCGCTACCTTGGGGGTCAAGATGTTGTAGTAAGGGTTGCGGACGGCCAGTTGCTGCATCGGCTTCAGGTCCAATTGGAAAATAACTGGTCGGTGGGGTGTCGAAGGCGGAGTCCGATTGGGTGGATACTGAAGTGACGAAGAGCCCATAGCGGAGGACGATGCCCGTGTTGGAGAGCGTGAGCGTCGTGTAGGTGAGATCCTCTCGTGGGACATAGCTCGCAGTTGGCAATAGCGGTCCAGGTGAATGCGGAGAGACATAATAAATGGCTGGCGGGTTGTGTGATACGACGTGTCAAAATTCAATGGGGCAACAACGCCCATGGTTCTGAAGATTAACGAGAAGAAAAATTCCCAGAAGGAAGGTCCAAGGATTAGTAAAGCTGGGATACAGTGCCGCAAGTTCTTTTTTCTTGGTTTGCATATGTCGTTGGTCAGCCAAGTTTGTCTTTGATCTTATTCCACATAGAGCGAACATCTTCCTCAGACTTGCCCATCTTGGTCGAGATCACCTTCCATGAAAATCGAGACTTCTCGTCAGCCTTCAGAGTGCGTAGTTTCTGTTTGTCTTCGGAGGTCCAGAGTGACAGTGGGCTCGAGGAGCGGGATCGGGATTGGTCACGTCGGCGACGACGCTTGGCAGGCGCCTTTGGAGCGGATTTGGCTTTCTGTTTGCGATTCGGCGGTGATGGTGTTCTGGTAGAAAGCTTCGAAGGTGCAGGTAAAACATCAGGAGGCGGAGCA